TATATATATATGTGTGTGTGTGTGTGTGTGTGTGCGTGTGTGTGTGTGTGTGTGTGTGTGTTTGTATATATATATATATACATATATATATATACATATATATATATATATACACATATATATATACATATGTATATATGTATATATATAAATATACATATACATATACATATACATATACATATACATATACATATACATATACATATACATATACATATATATATATATACATGACCTGTTACTCATAGATTGGGCAGACCAAATTGCTAGGAAACTACTCAGAGTATGTATCTGATGGTGAACTTGAATGTGACTACAGAAAGGATACCTGTTAGGGCAGTACCAGACATCTATTTTTGTAGATGAATTTTCATTTGCTTAAATCATGCATTATTGTGCTTAAATGACTATATGCTGCTGTTTATGCTTTGATGGTGACTTACTGCTTGAAATGTGCAATGTTGTCCTGGTTCGATATTTCCCATTTACTAATACCAACCTTCAGTGATTCACATGCTTGAAAGTTTCCAGATGGTGAGCTGACTAGTAATTTGTAGCCAGTAGATAACCTGGTATCTACCTGCATAATATCTCACAAAATACTACTACTTATATTGATTTTTGCTTATGCTTCATGCGATTCTTTTGTTTGACTTGTCCTTTGGTTGGTTATCTTGTGGCACACTCTGCAATCTGATCCTCCTCCAATGCTACATTTGACCAACAGAGCTTGCCTTTATGAAATCGGTGATGTGAACTTCACTTTCTATTGACAGCTTTCTAGCATTTGATATCTTTACCCCTGTCTCCAAGCTGGATACCAAAAAGGATGACCTGCCACCCGTGCCACCAAGTCTGCTGAAAAATTTTACGGTATGATTGTACCATGTCTACATCTAATTAGTGCATGAAAATTAAGATGCCATGGATCATCTTATGATGTAATGTGTATAGGGTATTCAGTGATGCTCTAAATCTTCTTTGTAGGTGAATTAGGTTCTTTTATACTCTTTTATGACACAAAGCTTTAACTTTAATCCTGCAGTCCCCTTCCGACTCGGCCGGTGTCACACTTGGATCTATTGATCATCCAGCAAAGAATATCTAGCTTCAGATATATAGGATGACTCTGATGGTGTTGCTGCACTTCCACGTCGGCGATTATTTATGGGTAGCCAATCATTACAATAACTCATTTCACAATATGTCCCTTAAAAAACAACAATTTGGTACTTGGGAAGCTGTACATATTTTCACTTTTCACATAAAACTAATTATGAGAATGATTGTCAAAGCAGTGCGTTGGTAAGTTTGTCCACAGCTTTTCTAAGGATTCTTTCTTGGTCCTTTGTAAACTCACTGACTGTCATTGTCCTTTCTGTTTAATTTGCAAAATGCATTTGAGATGTTATTTTTGGTACATCGGGATGTTCATCCAAAGCTTCCAATTGTTTTTTTTTAATCCTGTTTAAATTTCACTGATTGTTGTCATGTGACATTGGGTATTTTGTTGTCCTGAGCGGACTAGCAGTGTCCTCCTTCCAAGGAAGAGTGTTTTGACTATACTTTGCAGTGTGAGGCTTCTAATGTTAAACACTTACCGGACATTCTCTAGGTTTGTTGCTTTATTCATATTCTTAGCTCAGAGCCGGACGAATTAGGCAGTCTCTCCAACCCTCATGCCAAGGTTTTCTAATTCACATAAAATTGAAGGGGAAGAAAAAAAGGCAAACCATAAAGCTCATGGCACGTTATTGGAGACGAACAATTTAATGAGGCAAAAATGCCCTTTTCCCGTCCTCATTATCGTCATAAGCGGTCTGATCGGACGGATCAAACCCGAATTGTCGATGGATCGGATCTTTTGTTATTGGAGTTGGAGATTCGATCCGTTTGTGGCCGTTGCCGTCGCTTCTCCGGAGCGCCCCCCCACCCTCTCGTTATATACTCACTCTTGGTACTTGCCCGATCACCCCTCTGACCCCCGACGCCTTTGCTTCAAGACCGCTAGGGTTTCTTCGCCACGTCTCGCTTTCGTCGGATTTGGATTCGATCGAGTTCCTCCCCGATGCCCGCTAGATCGGGCGGCAGGAAGTTCTCCTTCGACCTCCTCGCCGGCGACAGCTCCGGCGACGAGCGCAGCATCCTCCCGCGCCTGGATTCCGACCCGATCCTCTCCAACGGTGGCGATGGCGTTCGCTCGCCCCGGCGGAGGCGGAAGCACAAGGCCTCTAAGAAGAATAAGAACAAGATGGCGGTGGACGGGCCGGCGTCGGAGGATCTAAGCGTTCTAACGGAATTGGGCGACGTGAAGCCGTCCGTGGTCGAGAACGGCCGGTGCCAGGATGGGATCGGGATCAGGGTATTGGAGAATAGATCGGTGGTAGAGACGATTTGTGAGAACACGGTGGTGGAGGCGGCGTGCGAGAATTCGCAGGTCAGCCGTGTCTCTTTTGCGGAATTGAGGCAGAGGAATGTAAATGGGAGCGCGGCTGAGGAGCCAGAGGAGGATGCGACGAGCACCCGAGAGAGATTGACAGGGCAATGGAAGCCGGAAGCCAATGGGGCCGTCTCCAAGTTGGCAAAGGAGTCGTCCCTGGACTGGAATCGGGTGATGGAAAATGATCCAAATTTTATAGGAGGTAAAGTCCTAACTTAAGCCAATAAAAGTTTTCTTCGATGTGGACTAGTAATAGAATTCGTTGTTGGAACGGTGCAATTTTACGGTATGTGTTGTGCACAACTTTTTTTCGTTTTGGAAAAGCAAAAACAAAAGTAGCCTCAATCATGAATGACCTATACACGATAAGAAAGAATAAAAAGGTTCTAAAGTCTTGAGAACGGGAACATCACAAATTTTTTATTATACTCAATGCAATTTTGCAAGTTTCCACTGCTTAGTGTGAAGTCTGCCCATGTCTCCACTGCTTGCTTCAGTTTTCCCAATGGCGTTATAGTAAAGGAAGAGCAAAGCCACTGATATTTAGATTTTTTTTATGCTGATGTAGTTGTATTTAAGCCATTAGCACAGAATTTTTGGTTGATATGATTTAAGATGTGAACGAGAATAGATATTGGGATGTTCAAGAACAGGTTTTGCAAGCTCTAAACAGGGATGTGATACTTGATTGGTGTACCAGTCTTTCTTTAAAGCATTAGGATTGCCAGGTGTCATGAACTTTGGAAAAGGAATATGCTAATTTATTTATTTATTCAAAGTGTCAGTCCAAAACTATCACAGAGAATGTTGAAGCATCGAAAACATCACTAAGGTCAGAAAAAAAATTCCAAACTGCAGATCGTCTATGGTTTATAGGGCCTTCCTTCCATGATGATTCCGATAAGGACAATCCATATAATATCTGCCCAAGGTAAAGAATCACAAGAGAGTGATCTCAAGCACCGTTTTGTGAGTAATTTACAGCTGTGTATGTTCCGATTGATCACCCGGAATCACCATCATATTTAGGTCAACATACTTGATTCCCAGAACATAAGTTAACAAAACCATTGGAATCTGCAGATCCTTACCAGACAAAAGTTCTTATTTTGACAGTTTGTTTGCTAGCCCAATGGGGTATAATGTAGTTGTTGAGAAAGTACATAGGAAGGGCACTAATAGTAAGGACACTGTTAATGAGAGTGAGGCGACCACTTAGAGAGAGGTGTTTGGCTTGCCACCAGCCAAGCCTGTTTTAAACTTCATTAATAACGAGTATCCAATCAGCTTTCTCAAGATTACTTTGTCTGGTAGGAAGTCCCAGCGTTTTGATGGGGAAATCTAACAAAGAGATCAGCGATGTATTTGTGCTTCATATGGCCCACATTGATAAATCTGGCAATGGCCTTCATGAAGTTTTTACTGAGCATCACAGCAAGTTCAACGGTATATAAAGTGGCTTAGGTCAGCCATGTGTTCAGCTGTTGGAGAAATCAAGAGGGTGCAATTATTCCTATATAAGTTAACAATTTCATTGCTAACATAGTCTGACCCAATACCTTTGATCAGATGATTAGAGATCACCTATCTTCTGCTTCCACCGAGGATGTCAGCCACTAGGATGAAGATGCAGGGAGATACAGTTGCCAAAGATCATCAACAAGAAAAGCTGATTTGGAGATTTGCACACCTTTTGAACCCATTGACACTATCTTGGTTTAAAGCCAAGCATCGATGATCCATAATTCCATATTCTTTTGAACACTGACTAGGAGATGTTAATTATTCATTAATCTTTGTTTTGACCTTTTAGCAAGCACTTTGGAGAATACCTCTCACAAGGATATAAATCAAACTGATAAGCCTATCAAGTGTTAAATCTATGAAATTAACTTCATTGGCGCAGACGTTCTTGAAATGTTGACAAAATCATTATAAATGTAGAATAGGTTTCATAATAAGGTCATCAGTTCTAGGGGTTGTGTTTTCCCAAGGTTCCTCATTGCCGAAAAAATTTCATCTTTGTGAAAGGCAAGTCAAGGCCCTTTAGATTCATCTGTTGATCTGGGTAATATCGGCTCTTATTGAAACAGTTGAATTGAGAGCTATGCTTGATTATGATTGGATGAAATAATGAATGGCTGAATGGTTGGATCAATTAGTAAAAGACAATGTGTTTTTCCGATCTATGTTTCACTTATTTGCAGGTTTTCACATTCCACTTGGTTGAAATATGTGATTGGAATTTTTTAAGGAAAACTCTAGGAAGATGTGTACCTCATTATAGGAATTTATTTAATCTGCTAATTTTATTCTACTATGATTTAGGGCTATTATTTGGTCAGTAGGTTTAGCCCTCAGAAGAATCAATGATGGATGTTATGTATCCCATTGCAAATACTCAACCTAGATGACTTGTTGTTTATCCTTCGTTATTTTGGCTTTCAATTCATTTTAAGGATCCCCTTCTTAGATATTGCCAGAGAAATAGTTATCTGAATATCTTTAAGTAGTACCATAGCATTCTATCCAAACTAATACTCTAGAAGGGTTCTTAAACCAGATTCTAATTTATTAGAAGCTTGTGTTGGTTATGTTTGTTACTTATGCTTTTTTGGTTATATTTTGTTGCATTTGTCCACTTATCCATAAGAATACTCTGTCTTGCATATACTAAAATGCCAGCATGTAAGGTTAGTCTTTTTATTTTTTTAAATTTAGTTTATTTAAATTTGGACAATTATGTTGGAATGCATAAGAGCGCTATTTTTCTCCTTTAGATTTTCGTCTTTTTCTATGTAACTTGTGATTGACAATTTGCAAATTGTCTTGGATTCTTTTTACATATCAATTTTCACTTGTTCGCATGATTATTAATACAAAAATATATCTTTGTTCTTGGCAGAAGTCTCATTCGTGGGCAGATCACCATTTAAGTACTTCATGGGAGAGATTTACGGTGGCAGTTCCCTTAGAGGCACAATATCTGCTGGGAATGAGAAGAAAAGGCAGAGGGTCTACAATACTATGTTCCATGTGCCATGGAGATGCGAAAGGGTATATCTACAATCTTAGCATATAAAGATGAACACTTATCAAAGTCATAGATATGCATCCAAGATAATGTTATTAGTACTACCAATGGCATAGGTTTGTCCAAGAACTTGGCAACCTAGTTTGTTTTTGAAGTTGTTCCTCTTATCACAAATGAATTTAGTCATTTACCTAGGTTTAGAGTTGACCATGGGTCATGCTAGTTGCCATTAAGCCTTGAATTTTGCCTATAAAATACTTTCATATTTTCCACATTGTTTGGACACATTTTATCTAATGCATTTTAATCATCATACTTTATGTTGTCAAGGCAGAGCAAAGAACTAAAGAAGATGTCTACTAAGAAAAGCTGATAAACTGGATAGTGGCCCTCAATGAGGATAATGTAAAGGGTAAATTGTTGGATGACTTGTCTTGCATAAAGAATCTAATTGGATGATCAGAAAGCTAGGCTAGTTGGACTTGGGCCTTGATATTGAAGTCAAAGTCAGGCCAAAGATGACCATGGGCATAGACATATTTCTGCTGGTTGACACCCCTAATTATCCTTATGTTTATTTTTCGCTATCATCACGAGGGATTGAATGACAACTAACAATACATGCATACTCCTCGTTTTCCAATGTGCCGATGGTTGGCTGCTATGTCTAATGAAAGTAGCTCACAACCTCACACAATCTGGTTTTGAGCTACATACTGATTACACTATTATGAACATGTCCAGATAGAGACCATCTTTTGCATAAATTGTGGACTCCTAGTACTCTTTGTTTCTCTATGATGTGTTCAATAAATGAGAAAAGAATTAGATGTTGCAAAATTGTCAGAAGAAGTCACTTGAAGTATCATTATAAGCTACTAAATTTGCATCCATTAGGAGTAATATTTCTGATGCTGATCACAATATGCAGCTTATTATTGCAGGC